AGTTCAATGTAAGCTCTGCTGAAAACTGCAGGTAATGACAGCTAAGAGACTGCAATGACCGTTGTCTTGTATACTCATTCATTAGTATTAGCGCAGAATGTTTTGCAAAATGACAATAATGGGAATGACTTACCGACAGGTTTGCACCAAAAAGCATAAAATAATGCGACTTTTATTAGCCTCTCCACACAATCTTAACCTTATCAAGATTGGCCACTACACAAAAGCTACCACCACCCCAAACAAAACAAAACAAACCCTTAAATAAATTCACCTATGACCACAATATAGAAGTACGCAGGATAAAGGAGACCAATATTTCTTTTTATCCAATAACTTTGAAATTCACTGGAATTTAAAGTTGAAAGCAGATTAGTGTGTTGCCCTATTCCATCCTAAGATAAAATATGGTAATTCCGGGGAAATATACAGCATGTATTACTTCAATAATGAATGAGTTTTTTAAAATTACAAAGTATACACATAACATAATACAAGGCTAGTAAACTTTATCAATGTTTAACTAGACGGCTGGCAAGTCAGAGAATATTCTCTGGCCGCTACTGTGCAAATTAGAAAGAGCTCTACTAACTGCATACACAAAGATCAAGATGTTCTCATGTAGTGCTTTACATTTAATAAACGTGTATAAGTGTAGTATGATTGTAAATACACACATATAGGGATACAGGAGCAGATCAAATTACGCTTTTAAGACTCATTTCTTTCTTTTCTCTAGTCTTTCAGTCACACTGTGATGCACACGTTGAGAACCTCAACACAGAGCTAAATCTATCAGCGTAACTAATTTAAGAAAGCCACAAATACCGATGTACTTCCCACAACTGCAAATATTTGCCAAATTAGGATCCACGCAACAGAGAAGAAGAATAGAAGAGGATGGAAAATATCACAGCCTCACTGAGGAACAAGAGCAGAGTTTCTGTGCTGTGCTCGCCCTTCACTTAAATTAAACTGCACCCGTTGGTGGACAGATAGTTTGGCGCAGAAGAACAGAGCAAGCATGAAAAGGTATCTTCCATACCACAGTGGTCCTTGTTACTGCAAATGTGCGGCAATAAAACCTGTATGTCGATTAAAGATGTCAGTACATCGAATATCATTATGTCCCTCCCGACCTTCCATAGATGGGACCGAAAGTAAACGTGAAGCAACATACCTCAGCGATGGGAATGGCGGGGGGGAGGAGAAGGCGACCTCTCGCTTGTCGCTGACAAGCAAAGTTTTGCACCCGCGCTCTCATCTGCTCCTACCACAGTTCCTCAAATTCCTCCTTCCCAAGGTGAGCATGCACAGGATATTCCATAGCGATCTTCTGATTTTTTCCCCCACACGATCTCCCCCTTTTTGAGTGGCCCCCAGCCGCTTTCACTACTCAGGTTCTGCCACTGTCCCAGCTCTCAAGATTAGGTGGCTGGCACCATTTCAACACCTAGTGGCATACTACTCATCTTCTTGAAAAAGAAAGTTTTTGTGCTCAGGAAAAAAATAAAATCAGTACCAGGAACTAAGTTTTAGTAGTATTGACATTGTAAAAATGAAACAAAACAAACACTGAAAAGGAAGGAGAGCAGAGCCTGAATTCAGGATATAAGCGCACACTGCACTGAAGTTCACCAATTCCCTTAGACTATGCAAAGAAAAACAGCAGAAGTGGAGACCGGAAAGCCCTGCCTCCTCTCACCTTGACCAGCCGTATCAGGAGACAGCTGAGGAAGAAGAGGATGCCTGGCGTGACTCTAACGCATCAAAAAAAAACCTTGCAGTTGGTGCTTAAGTCCCCCGAGAACTGTCCCGTTGCCTTGAAGGTAGGCTGCTTTTCTCTAATCTCCCATGAAAGGGGAACGAATCTCAATTTATCCCTCTGGAGGAAATGCTGAAGAACCTTTTCTCATAGTTTTCCTGATGCAATAAAAATGCTACTTACAAACTAAATTCTCTCCTCCACTTTTGTGCCTATCTGGAAAAACAAGAACAACAGGAAACAGTCAAACATCTAACTATAGCCTCAGAAGTCATATAGGTTTAAAAACCAGAAAAGCCCAGAAAAACCATGAGCGCCATATATTGTCGATGAATACCAGCAAAGCTGGAACTAGCAGGTGCCAGGGGTATGGGCAGCAGTATTGAACTCTTAAGAGAAACAGCAATTCCAGCAGTCTTTCAGCTAGTCTTTATCTTTTGAGTCTCTTTATAGGATTCCGGGGAGTCAGAGAAGGATATGGCACTGCTCTGCTTTTCAGCACCCCACAACTCGAGAAGGAGAAAGCAGCAACGCTTGCAGTACCCCACAGCGTGCAATCCTGGCAGAGGACACTGTCTTTTAGGCGGTGACCAGCCCAGTCCTTATCTCAGCATCCTGACTTCAGATATGGAGTCAGGAGATGCGAAAAATCGGTGCTTCTGATGATATGCTTCACTAAAAGCTTAATCTGAACAGCTCTATATCTGGGGCAAAACTTTTCTTGCTGCTCTTCCCCTCCCCATACCCCCACAAACCAGCCCAAGTCCTGACCTATGGTCCCCTGCATCTTGCTCAAAGCTAAAGATCTGAGGGCAAGATCCTAGTCACACCAGTTCCTTTAGAAAATAAAAGGGGCATTGCATTAAGGCTCTCAAATACTATTTTCCGAAAAATCCCTGAGATTTAAAACTGCCAATAAAAGACCTGTGTAGCTGCAAAAGGCAAGAAGGAAAACATTACAGATACATTTGAGGATTAACTGCTTTGCACGAAAATGTATTAGCAAGCCTTCTCTCAGGATTACCAAGCATATTTATTGAAAAGATACAAACATTATTTTTCTAAGATCGTTTGAAAATCTAGAGACTTTAGCTTGATTTGTTCCCATGTTAAGCCATTGTAATAGATTAAGAGAGAACGCTTGTGATTGAGGCACAAAACGTAAAACGCAGGCAGGCAAGGTTATTTTTAAATAGCAGAATCTTGATTCTTTTTTGAAGAGATCAAACAAATTAAAAGCCTTCCTCTCTATCTTTAGCTATAGATTTGTCCCCGCCTCTACTATCTGTAAAAAAAAAGTTCTGAAACAGAAGTCTTCTTTTTTTTCCCCCCCTCTCCTTTCTTAAGTTACATAATGTAGTTGTGGGAAGGAAACAAGATAATCAGCCTAAAAACAAAGGTGCCAGTTTTTGATACAACTGAAGACCTCCTTCAAGTGCCTATTTACCAATGTCACATTAAACATCCATGACATCACATCCACAGGTAAGAATAAGGTCACACAAAGAGTGAGAATACACATTCAACAGAACAAAATAAAAACAATTCATGTATAGCACTTATAAATGAAAAAAGACTGATTAAACATGGCTGAAAGTCCAAACTAATACTTTGTTCTATATAGGCTTTGATTTTGTGCCACTGGCAAAGACGACAAGTTTCTAAAGGAATAACAGTGATTTCACTCAAGCCAATGAGTGCACAATAACCACAACATTATAGCAAGTGCTGCGAGGAATAATCATGCCTTCAGAAATACTAAACTGAAGCAACAGGTGACTGAAGGACACTTCAGTGCTTCATTACGCTCTACCAGACATTGTGAGAGACTCCTTTGAATTTTCAGTTGCCAGAGTTCTGTGAAATACCAGCATTTTTTTTTTAATGCTCGATTAAAGAATGAAAGTGTTTCAACAAGTCCACATATAATAAAATTCCCTTCTGGGATCTGCAAAGGATTGAAAACGGGACAACATGGAACCCAAACCAAATAACTGCAGGATGTCAAAGCTGAACGTCAGAATTTCGTCCCAAACGAAAACGTCCATCAGGTTGACAGAGAGGAAGTATGCTTTGTAACTTACTCTTGCTTAAATAAAAGTTGCTAAATTAGATGTGCAATTAAATAACTATCTTTTCAATTTCGCTTCCAAAAGTACAGATCATCTCCTTTCAAAGTCAATCGACTAAAAATACATATATAAGCAGTGAAGCTCTAGCTGCTGCCTACAGCACTCACTCTTTTCTAACATCTCAAATAACTTCTCAGAAAGGAACAATTTTACCTAAACAGTCTTTTGCTGAATACAGCACACACTTTAAAGAAAAAGTTAAAGCTATCACTGGATTTACTGCCACCTATCTTCCCCAGATAAAGTAGACTTTGCACCTTGAATTAACTAATTTGTAAGCATTTTTGCGCAATGTGATTAGGACAAAATGCAATGGGGATTAGGTGTTTTTATAGTCTGTGCATATATTTCCAAATTACTGCAAAACAGCAGCAAACTTGCTTGTTGCTGGACTGCTGAAGGCACTTTGTAATCAGAAAATATAACGATTGTCTTCACAAGAAGTTTTGATGACTCCTGTTTTCCACTGGTCTTGCATATACTCCCCTCTTCTAAACTGTGTATGATGCTTATTCTTTGAGGTATACAGCAGACATGTTGCATAGTTTTGATATTTTAAAACTATCCTTCATAGTCGATTCAAAGATTGCCCTTTTTGATTTTTGGGGGGGGGAAGGAGAGGACTCCCACCGCAGTGCAAGACAATATCTCATTTACTGGATGTGGCAGCTTGTTAACAAGCACCTGCAAAAAGGACTGCTGCATTCAGGTGCTGGAGGAACAGCCTATTACAGTAGACTCTTGTAGACACATATTTATGGCCAAAAAACTACATTTGATACACTGTAATTTTTGATAAGTCTTCAAGAGCCAGCTGGTGCTCACCGGAATTACTGGGTTTTCCTAAACTTAGTATTTTGCAAACATCATAGCCTATTATAGCACGTTCTGGATGCAGTGTTATGCATATAATGCAGTACCAAAGCTAGGATGCTTTCAGGCAAACTGAAGACAAAAGAAAATCAACTGTATTATGTGAGTCAAAATCCAGCCACTAGATTAGAATTTTCCAGCTCTTTAAAGTGACTGACATTGTACCCTTCTTTTGACTTCTAAGTCTGAACAGCATAGAGGAATCCATCATAAAAATCAAGGTACCAATCAATGATTGACATGTGCCTTTTCTGTCCAGTCTTCTTGAGTGAGATTTTTTAAATTGTTCTGAAAGTCAAAAGTAAAGTTCTCACCAGTTGCTTGAGCAAAAGGATTACTAAAGAAAAGATTTACATCCAGTGGAGCAGCAGTTTCAGAGTCCCAGGAGTCTGTATCTGTACTGCTAGAGTCTTCTGTAGTGGTGGGTGGATAGCTCAGCTGTTCCAGCTGATCAATAATGTCAGTGAACTGAAAGGCTGAACTGGACTCAGAGCGAACTGAATAGGCTGGGAAATTCACCATAGAACTAGCCTCAGAATGATTAGCAGAACTATACGTGTGCAGGGATGAAGTACCATTCAGTGGCAAATTATTGAGGGAACTGCTTTCAGAACGGTTGTTTATGAGTGAACTTGTTTCAGAAGGGCTCAGAAGGCTTTGCATTCTGCTCGCTTGTGCCTTAACCTCAAACAATTCTGAGGTATCTGACGGTCTCTCATTACCATTGAAATCGCTCCCTTCTTCAAAGTCAAACTCATCTTCCATATTCATATCTACTGCTTCTGTTGAGTACCTGTCAGGGCTTGACTGAGAAGAGACCATATTTTGTTGCAGGACATCTTTAGTTAAGCCAGGTGACTCTGATGCATGCTTAGAAAAATCGGAGCCCTTTAACTCTAAACCACTGTACATATATGAAAATGCCTCAGATCCCCCAGCAAAAAAGGAAATTTCTGCTGGGTCATCATCAATGAATTCCTCTGAAACCTGTAACGGTGAATTTGTCAATGTGAAAAGAGGGGCACCCCTACCGCAGGGCTGACGCTCTTTTTCAGCAATGAAAACACCCGTGGTAAAGTCATCCTCATCATTGTCATTTTTACAAACAGCAACCCTACTCTCTTTACTACTCTTCTCTACATCTAGATCTAAACCACGACCACTCTCAACAACAGGACAAGCAGAGTTACAGTTTCCTGCAACACTACCAAACCCAACACCTTGGAATGACTGGAGCATGGAAGGTCCAGGCTGCTGCATCAGTTTCCTCCCAGTTTCTTCTGCTGGCGCTGCAGTATTTTTTTCTGGAATCCTTGTATATGGTGCTCGGGGGTCCACAGAGGAAGGGCTGGTTTCTGCAAAGACGGGCAGGACAGTAGTAGGAGTGGTCGATGAATGAACTGAATGGAAGGGGGCTGTTGCTGAGGCAGGAGACCCTGGGGTTCTCAAGCCCTCAGTGAATGGGGCACTCTGAGGGGGAAATAAAAACAGAACAGGTAAAAAGATTTATTTTTTTTTTAATACATGAAAACAAATGCAGCATCTGGTTCATGAGGCAGAAGGAACGCGTGCTTCAAAAGAGCTCCCTTTTTAGCAAATAAAACTTTATATACAGAAATAGACCCAGCATCCTCCAAAAGATGGAAGGTCTTTTTTCATGAATTTTCGTAATTGAATGGAAAATTAAATCCATGTATTTTATACCCTCTGCCGAGGAAACATCCACAGGAAAGGAAAATACATAACAAGGAGAGCTAAATCCTGCAATGCTTTCTTAACCTCTTGCATCTACTGCAAGCACATTTCGGTGAAACAGTAAACTGCTGCATTTATGCTCGTTTCTGGCTGAATTGTAAAGGCATCCATATGATGAAATCAGACTACAGGAAAATCTGTTACACAGTTACTGAAAACAAAATAATCCTGTGAAATAGTAATAACTAGAAAGTAGGACATCTTCCTTTCAGGTAAGATGAATTATGAGAAGGAAAATACTACTCGTTTCAGACTCTACTAGCTACAACTATTAAAACTGATAGCACTTGGAAAAAAAAAGTGGCAGGCGCAAAGATTAAACAGTGGAAGTGATTCCAGACAAACAGTTCAATCAGAACAACTTTTCTTTGCAGTCAACTCGGAAAGCTGGCTGTCAGCTTCATTGACTGCAATATCTACAGCGCTGCAGAACTAACCTGTTTTGGCACATCTGTGTTTGAAGTGTGAGCAGACACTCTAGCTTTGCTGTGCCTCCTGCAGAAAAGAGAGCATCCTGTGAGTATCCAAGATTTTAGTTAGCCTTCTCCCTTCCCTATTCAGCTATTCCCATTCTAATAGCCAATAGAAAAGTTCCAAGAGGTATTCTCTCATGTTTTGTTAGCGACTACGTCAAGATTTAAAGAGTTACAACAGTTTTAAATTAAACAACGCAGGTGCAAGAAACGTACAGAAAATGGAATGAAGCAAGATTCAGATCATTCATACCACTACAGAACGGGAGCAAAACGGGACAAAAGAACAGACTAAATAGCATTTAGTTTAGTTTCTTCCTTTGTCATCAGTATGACAAACCCACAAACGTTTAGCTTCACAACAGAACAGGTTCATCTACAACAATTACAAAAATAATTCATCTTTCAGTCAACCATGTAACTTACAGCATACAGCAGCCTATATATTACATTCGAAAAAGTAGTATCTTACATAACATTGATGGTTAGATTCATTCTATAGTAATTATTTACTAGGAAAAAATCTTTCATCCAGAGAAGGAGCTCAACCAGAGTCCTAGCTATTCAAAACATTCATTAATAGCAGAGATTAATGCAAACTTTTTGAAAACCCTGTTAAATTTCATATAATCTTTCAGATAAGAAACTATGAGGAGTTTCCTACAGTAGACAGAATTTCATAGCCAAGTAAGTAAAGGCATTTTCACTGTAAAATTATTTGATTTCAAAACTTTTTTCATTTTCAAACCTTTTAAATTTTTAGAAGAGAAGGAATGTTTAAGGCCGTGTTTTCAGACTAGCAGAAGACTTGCAAGTTCAATTATGTGCTCTACCACTGGTTACTAGTGTAATTTTAGACATAACATTCTCCATGCTTCAACTTTCCATCTGTATATTCTGACACTCAAGGTCAAAGAAGCATATTATTAATGAATGTCATTTAAAATTACTTTGCTTTGCATCATATCCTAAATCAGATAATATCTGTAAGTGTCAGTGGTCTTCAACAGGAGTATTCAGTTTGTTCTCAGGACATGATCTCTAGAGAAAGGATCCAATACTGCCAATGGATGCAAGTGGCATGACATCATGCACAGAACAATAAGAGGAAATGATGTTCACGAACAGAAAACCACGATCACGTCCATCTGGATTTAAGTTGGGAGTTCAATGTTACTGCTTCAGCTGTTCACGCGCATCCTTTTGCCAAAACACTGTAACGTGTAAAAAGGCTCCCAAAAAGTGATGACGACAGCATGGCTTGACTCAAATTTGCAGCTCAGTACTGCCAAAAAAGGAACCCAAGCTCCCCCTGCCACTGCTCCACTGCCCTGTTTGCGAGCTGAACTGATTCACCTTGTGATTACATAACTACTAGGACAACATATGCAACACATTGTTAATGTTATGGTACATGCTGTTAATTTGTGAAAGCATAATCTTGAAACACATTAGGCTAAATCAGTTTCAGAAAGAGTGGAAGAAGCCAGAGTCTCAAGTACCATTACCTTTTGGCCAAACCACGTGAATACAGAGAACAGATACAAGTCCCCACTAACCTCATTGCATCTTCACAGAACTTCTAGATGGCTAAGTCACACATTGTCCACAAACATTAAAATGCAATACTAAAACTTCCATAAGCGTCTCTGCATCATCATGAAATTATAAACTGGCAAAAAAATTAGTTCAGCTACCTTAAATTTGAAGTAGACCTTTGTAATCAAAAAGTCAGCAAAAGACAGGGCCTCCAAGCACGAATTAAAAACTTTGACGTTCAGGAAACAAAGGCATTCTGAAATCTCTCCTTTGTAACATTTTACCTTACAAAAACCTTTGCACTTACCTTTCGTATGGAGTTTTCTTCATCCCGCTGTCCTTAATATAATCCACTAGCTGCTTCTGCGTTCGTCCACTGTGAAGCCAAAAAAGTACAAATGTTATGAAATGTAGTAGATAAAAATTATGGTCAGGTTTAGAGCAAAGTTTTTATAAATCTGTGAAAGAGTCTGCCGTCTTTAATTTAAGTGGAATTACTTTAGAATACTTTTTCCTTTTATTCTCATTTTATAAGTTATAAAAAGTTCAATTTTAGTAAATTCGTTATGTTTCTCCCTACCTGTATCTGAACGAAGACCCTCTGGTGAAGAACACCGCTTTAGCCTTCGGCTTTGGCTGATCAAACAGCCTAAAGAACGTGTGATATTCAACACAGATTTTCCAGAAGTTTTTACACTCATCTCTACTTCCCAAAAGAAACTCCAGTGTATCTTGGTATGGGCCCTGGGAACAAAATACAAAAGCCCAAGTAGCACATAAAATGGCAATGGAGCTGAACAGGGAAAAGCAAATATATGCCAACCAAAAGTACTGAACTGCAATGAGATGCAGTATTTTCATAAGTCACACCTCACGCTCCCTAAAGCAGTGGCTGTGATTTTGAATGCAGTTTAAAATCATTTAGCAGTTTTCAAAACAATGTAGTTACCTTGAAAATGTAAAAAGGCTTAAAATATACTTCTTGACTAAGACTTTAGAAATATGTTGGATATAATTCACATGAAGAAACACAGACTATAAAGTTAGCAATTTGAAACAAACTAAAAAATTTAAGTGCAGCAGTAGTTATTTTAAAATACTTTTTTCATAAAAGTTCTGATGCTTGTCTCACTTTCTGAGATTTAGAAGAGACTGAAAGATACTGCATATTTCAGAACACAGTTATCACATCAACTTTCTGAGGGTCTCTTTGGGAAACACTCTACTGTACCTGCAGCTAGTGTGTGTTGAATCAAGTTTCTGAGTTGCGTATAACCATGTTGGGCATATATTCTTCTTCACTCTAATACAACCTTACGTTGTATTAGACACAAATTCATTACTAGACACCCTATGTTGTATAATCTAGTCATCCAGTGTGGAAGCAACGATAACTATGGTGACATCTATGATACAAAAGCCTGTTGTACTACTATAGCCAAGCACGAAAAATAAAGCAACACTTCTGCTACACAGGCACATAAAAGAGAGAAAGCTGTAGTAAAAGTAGTCATCTGTTTCTTAATTTTAAGTTCCAACAATACGATCTCAGCCAACTATTGTTTCCTGAGGTGCATTAGGTTACTTTCTTTCCATCCAAATCAAGGGACTCTGTAACCCCCTTGCCACTCAAGCGCAATATAGTCACCACATTCCTAAAGGAAACAGTCATATAAAACAATTGTCTTCTAATAGCAGCGTACTAAATTGTTCTCTTAAGGAGCTAAAGCCAAAAGCACTCCCTAACGCGCTTTTGTCCGAACGAAGATTTACTATTTCAATCGCTTAAGTTGTCTTAGCTCATTTTGATTATAATGGATGAGAGAGAGAGCTCATATGAGATTAACTTCCATGTATTAATTTGCCAGTTTTGCTTCAGCTTTTGGGTCCTTAGTACATAGAATGTCCACGCCAGTTCTGACCCTTCGCGCTTCAACCCTGCATATAGGATACCGCGCGCTATCCCACTCAACATAGCTGCCCAGACCTTTCATACGTCAAAGAGCTTCTGACTGACTTTCCTCCACTGTTCCAAGTTCACACAACCTTTCGGTTGAACTTCTGTTTCCCTCTTCACAATGCAAAGAGGAGACTGTAGCCCCGAAAACTTTTAAAGCAATAAACACATTTATATACAATGCACAAACTAAATGTAAATTTTTTCAGAGAAAAAGTACACAGATTGAATACTTCCATTTTTTTTCTATCTCAGATTTACACATGTGTACGTCTATGTCCAAAATAAACCAAGGTGGAATATAAAAATCTAAGAAATGCAAAATGAAGACAGAGTGAGAAAGGAAGAGGTTTTTACTTTAATGATGAAGCCAAACCTACCCCAGTGAAGATGTTTTGTAAAATTACAGGTTCTAGTGTTTCTGATAATACTTATGAATATATATATATATATTTATACGCTGTCAAGCCTATTATTACGGTAAAACTTACACGGACCTCTGGGTGGAGTTTAATAAGGAATCTTTTCCTCTTGAAGCTTAGTTTACGGACCTTAGACCAGTTGAAGGTGTTGATTTTCGTATTACCCTGAATTAAAACAGTAAAAGTTAAAGCACAAGCTTCAGAAGCAACAGCAACAAACAACATTGTTGCATGCATATACACACATACACGCGCACACCCCACCCTATGCCAACCCATTCTACTCAGTCCTTGTTTCTTCTAAAAGCATTCCTTTAGACAGCTTTATACTTCAAAATAGGGATAACTACAATCGATATGATGTCTCTGAGTGGACACTAGAATCAAATTTAAGAAATCTTGAAAATCTAAGAGGAGGGAAAAGAAAATTTTAACTTCATCAATATTCAGGATATTACACAGCAGAAGCAAGATTAGATTTGTATTTTATTTAACAGGCTTTCCTTTTCCCTTGCGCCGCTTAGAGAGCGCTACATGCTCATCCAAGCTGATTTTTCCTAACTTCACTCAATATCTGCAAAATCTCAGGTTTTGAGACTTGCACTTGCGAGAGAAAGCACAACTGGAATACAAGTGACATCGTAGCTTTTAAAGTACTGATCATTAGAGGAACAAACCCAAAGGCTACCTCCCCCATTTCTAATTCAGCAGGCCAATATGTTGAGGAGCAGCGCACATAAGGAATCCTTGCAAGCTTTCTTGCTCACAAATTGCCATCTTATTCATCAGTGGCAAAAAGCAGGCTCTAACTTCACTCTGACAAAATGAAGTCTGCTGCCCAACATCAGTCCTTCCTTCACTGCCTCACTCAGTCCCAAAAATCTAAGCAAAGGGGACCTCTCTCAGCAAAAGTAGTAACCTTAATCGGTCCAATGACTTCCGTGAAACTTCTACACGTTAACAGTGACATTATTCCAACAATAATATATTGTAACATTAAAATAACATTACATGTTATTAAAACAATAATTTGGGGGCCTAAATGACATTCAGTTGAGCGTCTTCAAGTCAACACTTGAAATTAAAATGAAAGACTGACTCCCAAGATATTCTAATCCAAAGACAGACACAGGTACGCGGTATGCTTTCTCCACCTTACCTGGAATACTAGTACACCCATGTGTGAAACAGCTAGATTAATTTTTGTGCCCTCACGGTCAGAGGCAAGGTGAAATCTAATACCATACATCTCCAGTTTCCGAGCAATTTCAAGC